CACACACACACACACACACACACACACACACACACACACACACACACACACACACACACACAGCTCTGTACACAGACAGAGATGCCGCTGACGATATTCGTCATTTTTGATGATCATTGATTTAGTTGATTTTGGAAAATCTGCTTTTTCTTGATGTGAAAAGTAGCGACTCTGAGGAGTAACAAGAGACAGTGATCAAAGCCAGTGGATGACAGATTTATGTATCTCCTTTAAAAAGACTTTAGTATGTTTCCTTGTTCCACTGACCTCATTAGTGGCTTCAGGAGTAGTATTTGAAGCAGTTACAGCTGCTTGGCACAGTACAGGAACAGTTTTACACAGAGTGGCTTCTGTCCTGTATTGTAATGATGTTCAATGAATCTGCGTGCCTGGAATATAAAGATAAAAAATTCAGGGATAAGCGCTCTTGTGATGAGATATATTCAGAATGTCTCCTTGCGTATGCAGTCTGTGAGTGTACATACAATCATGCACAACCACAGTAGCCACTATCCCATTAAGGTAGGCAGGGAAATGTTCATCTGATAACCCCTTTGGGCCCATTAGCACATCATCAGTCATGACATCATCTCTCCCTTAAACACGCACACATACACGCACACAAACAAATACACGCAGAGTCACACACAGTACTATACAACTAAAGGCTGGATCATTGGCAGATGCTTTTAACCCGTTACTGACCTGAACCTGAGATCTGAAGGGCCTTATACATTTTCACAGCCTAGGTTCTGTGTAATGAAGTACCTGAGGACATCCGGTTACCAAAGTGAAAAAAATATATGTATGTATTTTTAACCTTTTTAAAAATGTGTTTAAGGTGGCAGACTGACATCAGTGAACCTATATGGTATTAATTTTGCCAATTACATAAACGAACAACACGACTTACACGATATTTGGCAGCCTGAACACAACAACAAGAAGAACAAATCTGCTCGCACGCTTTTCAGCACAATCAGAGATTGTTTTATGGACAAAACAGGCAAAGAGCCGCCTGTTCCTCCAGCTCTAATGGAGCTGTGTCTCACATTCACAGATGGCCCTACAAATGAAAGGCTGAAGGGAGAATCTCTTAATGTTTATCTTCAGAAGAGAGACAGAGGAAACTTAGTAGTGATGGCAGACTGTGTGGGGTAAAACTAAAAAGCAACAATAATAAATGCTGGAGAAGAAATATCTAAACACTCTGTTATTTATTTATTTATTGCAACTCTTCTTTTACAGTATTCTTGCCCAGAATAAATATTCTTACACCAATAGCTTTATAACAGTTTGGTAGTTTGAGCTCTGTTCCATTCAGGTGCTATGGCTTAGCGGCTCTGCTATCATTGGTAAATTTATGAATGAGAAACACACTGTAAAGTGGGTTGTAGATCCTAATAAAGGTTCAAAAGGTGCTACGTATGTGTAGATCATTCAAAATTATGTCCCCAGTGGCCCCTACTCATTTCGTTTGAAGAGAAAAAGCGAATCTACTACTACTGTTCTTAAAAAAAATCGATGTATGTCAGTGCTAATACAGGTTAAAATGCTTGATTCATAAGAACAAGGCTGATTTTTGTGGTCATGTCTATTTGCAGAAGAGGCCAAGATACAATATTGTGCCCAAGGCTAAAGTCACCCTTCATTTGTTTATATTTTGCTAGAAAAATGAGAAATGGGTGTGGCAAATTATCAAAACATCTGCAAACATTCATAGGGATACAGTATGTAAGGCAAAAA